AAGCTTCAAAACAGCACTAGCGGCCGACTTTAAAAGGGAGTACAAGAATATCGAGTTTTTGTGGAAACAGAGGCCGGGTGTAGGAGGAGTGATAGCGTTGCCCCCTGTTGCATCACAGATACCAGGGAAATATTTGTGTTTTTTGGTTACGAAAGCTACTGATAGGCAACACGTGAATCCGGAGAGCTTGGTGTTGGCCTTGACTCGACTTAGGGATTTCCTGGTTGAGAGAGGTGTGACCTCTCTCTCGTTGCCAGTGTACGATCCTAATAGGGGAAAGCTACATCCGAGAGAGTTGTACGCTCTTGTGCATGTGATATTTTCAGAGACTGACATAGAGGTTTACTTACATAAAAAATACTATCTGAGCATATGCTAAGAATTGCGCTCGGCGATAAGTGGTTTTTATTAAGTTGCTCGATAAGAATTAGAGTCAAGTTTTAGATTAGGTTAGGTCTTAGGTACAGTATTAGGGATTAGGTTTTTATGTGATGTTTATGTTATGTTATTGTGATGTTATGTTTTATGTTAGTGTCATAAAAGACCTGGGGCACCCCAGGTCATCAAGGTGACAGCGTACATTCATGCTACTCTGACAAAAGTAAAGGTGGACGATCCACCTTGGTGCTAAAATTTTAAATCAGAATTGAAAAAGAGAATTTCAATGGAGAGTTTTAGAGAATTGATTGATGTTGCATCTTAAAATGATGGTTCTAAGTCGCGACCTGTCTTTTAGATCTTGATTGATCGGAAATTGTTTACTGACACTGAATCAGAAGAGATTACACGAAGAATCAACACGAAAAGAAATGGGAGATACTAACGAACTCATGGAATTCCTCTCAGCGAGTCTAGGAGCGACTCTAGACGAGATCTATCAGCGGCTGATCGATTGTGACTTCACACGAGAAGACACGGGGTTGCCCGATCAGAATCAACCAGTGTCAATCGTGGTGGTTAGCGCCATGCTAGCAGTGAGATGGTTGGAGGCTTATGCGGACACAAATGAGCAGGAGACGGCCGTGCCGACTCCTGAACAGCTGAGCAACGTGAAAATGAGTAGTGAATTGGATCTTTTCAGAACCACTTGCAAGGTTCTGAGAATACCTAAAGCCATTGAAAGAATATGGTCAAGGCAAAGATTGATGCCTTGGTTCCGTGCAGTGATGACATCTTGGATGTATGAACGCGCGAAGCGTCACATGTCAAGGAACACGGAAGCCTATCAATCTTTCCAGCTAGACATAGGACCAGGAGCCTATAAGAGAGCTTTCCTGACGCATAGAAACGCGGTCACCACTGCGGTGAAGCGAGTAGCTGGAGCGCCTTGTGTTACTGAAGATGAAAAGAAAGAGGTCTTAAGAGCTGACCTAGAACGAAACGTGAGCCTGTGTCTTCACAACAGCTTTTGCAGGAACCGGGAGCAGAAGGTGAATGTGGACTTACTACCTTGTTGCAAACCGAGGCTGTTGGAGCAGGAGGGTTGGGGCACGGCCCGCAACTCTCTGGACATGTTAGAGAAAGTTCTGGAAGACAGTGACGCTGAACATCAGGATGGAGAAATGATGGAATGAAGATGACGGAGGAAGAGAAGAGAAGGAGAAAAAACTTGATTGTCTTTGTGTGTAAAAACTTGAACAAATCAACCAAGTTTTGATTATTGAACTTGTGAAACTTTTTGTTTTGATTTAGTTTGGTCAGACCAAACTTTGAAAATTGTTGCAATTGTTAAAATTGTTGAAATTGTTGATTTTAGTTACTACTATCTATGTATGTATATAAGGAGCATAGGTGAGTATATTTACCTATTTATTCCCGACTGAAGTTTTTAACCTGTGTAAGACACAAATTCACTGTGTGGCGACATGGTAAGTTTGAGTAAACTCGCTCGAGAAGGGTGGGTAACTCAATAACTTTCCTAGCCACAGAGTTTCTTAGTTTTAATATTGAAAGGACCGCATAAATGACTAATTATACTTGGTGAGTGAAGTTAAGTTAATTTTAACGGGTGCGTGGCCGTGCCACGTCCCACTTTTTAATCAGAAGCGAAAAGAAGTTTTATGGCGAGATGACGTAAGTAGTCAGAAAGGAAATTTTATCTAGGACACTCCTCATGGTGCAACTTTTGTGAAAATGTTGAAAGGCAGTGAGATGTAGTACGATGCCATTTGTGAACACGTAGTGAGTTGAGGTGGAGTAGATAAATTTCATTTTCTTATGCGATTTGTAAGATTGGTTACAGAAAACTGGATACCTACTTGACGATAACCCGGTGTTGTGCGATCAATAGGGACATTGATGGAGACTTGTCCGGGGAGTATGTGCCATTCCGCCGGATGACACAGTATAACCTTCCCGCGACGGAAAAAAAAGTGACTAAAGGCCTTACGAACAGAAAAGTGTTGCGACGGAGGGTCAGAATGTTCTGGAATTTTTATTTTTAAAATTTCGATTTGAAGGAGAACATTTCTGAGAAATAGAAAAAAGACGGCCATTTTGAATAAAATAGAGAAAAATCAGAACGACGCCATATTTTGTGACGAACGGTTGTATCCGAGACGAGAAAATTACGGAGCCTCTTATCGTGGCAATAACACACGATAAGGACCTTAGTGACGGATATTTGTGGAGACGGAGGCTTCAGTGGGGGGAAGAGAAATACCACGGAACCCTCCCGGGACACGAAATATAGGAGATAAGAGTGTTGTCTCAAGAAAATCACGGGAGCGGAGGCTTGGTCCCCCAGAGACTGTTATATGTGAAGGGACTGTGTAAACTAGCCATAACAGTTGCTGTAATGTCCTAGATCTGAATTAAACACCGTTATTATTTAATATTTCAGAGCATGAGTAGATAGAGAAAGGAAAAGGTCAATCCATCTCCAATGGATTTAATATAAAACTGTCACACAAAAACATATAGAAATAGGTGGTTCGAGCCGTGTTTTTAATGACAATCACGTAGTCTGAGGATCCGAGACTCAGCTATGTGGTTGTGTTCGCATGCAAACGAAAGCTGATCAAAAGTCGTTTGACTGATGGCCTAAAAATAGTAACTTTTTACTTTGCCCTAGACAGACCAGAAAATCAACTGGCAAGGTCGAGACGGTGAAAAACGAGTGGAATTAAGGTAACTGACGCCTGCCAGTCGTCAATAGGTACTTTTTCTACGCTCCGTCGCTGTGTGATATTTGGGCGAATGTTACATATCATGAATCACATCCTCAAAATGCTGATTAGTGGAAAACATTAGACGGCTTTGACAGTGTAGTATGATGCCATCTGTATTCTGCGGTGAGTCGATGTGATGCGGATAAAAATGATTTAATTTTTTGTAAATTCTGTTCGATGGCACTGTACCTTTTTAACCACGAGACTCAATGAGGACATTGACCGGGCTGTCCGGGGAGTATGTGACGCTCGACCAGAATGGCGCCAAAATGCATGGCAACATCGAGATTTTTTTTGAAGCATCCGAGTGGGAAAATTGGCAGTTTCGATGGATTAACAGTGCCAATAGTGCATTTTGACGAAATGGGAGATGTTTTTTTTTGGAGTGACGAAGTATTATTTACAAATTCGTTCGAAATCAAAGACACGTCACGAGCTTGAAATATCGCAAACGCTGAAAACCAGAGGAGACCGATTTTCGCTGGAAAATAGCAACAGTGACTCTCGAAGAGGAGACAAGCGTGAAAACTATATTGAGACCACGATCGAGACTGTCCGAACTGAACGATTATGGCTGCATAATCGTTACCGAATAATTTCTGAGAAATCGGAAGGGTATCGAGAGGATCTTACCCCTCTTTCAGAAGGACGACAAGACCGCTCTTCGTCCGGATTCCAGAATCAGGAAGGGTCTCGGAAAGAAAACTGAAACTACATTTTAACAACTTTCAGCTTCCGGATATTACCTGAATTGAATTAACTACCATCAAAATTCGTTTTCAGATAATGAGAAGCTAGGAGTTGAGGGAAAGGGTTCATCCATCTCCGATGGACATGATGATTTTTATCTACTGAACAAAAACAATAGTAATATAATAAATAAGTAGTAGCCCTGTTTTAACGAAGGACCTCGTGGTCTGGGGATACTGAGACCCAGCCATGAGGTCACTATTTTGCATGCAGTTAATCTGCGTTTTCTAACCGATAGCGCAAAAGCAGTAATGAATTTGTCGACCCAGTATTAAAGCACAATACATAAAACTGGCTTTGGTAGAGACGGTTAAAAGCATATGAAGCTGTGTTTAGAGGCTAGTCAGTCGTTTCATAACCTAGCTTTATTTTCCGTCGTTATGTAATTCCGGGCGAATGTTACACATTTTTACGTTCCGGGCGAATGCAACATTCAATTTTCAGAAAAGGTTTTCAATTGCTACATTGTGACTGTTACATTCAATTTTCAAAATTTTTACAGTACTGATCTATAAAAATATAAAAATTCGAATTTCCCAACCTTTTAGTGGGACAACTGTATTGTCAGGGTACTCTCGGGAAAGTTATTTAAAAAATCATGAAATTTGAAATTCCCAAATTTTTAATAGGATGCACTCAGGTTACTCTCAGTGGTTGCAAACCTTGCATCCAAATTTCTTCAAAGGCCCTTTTAGTTTATAAGAATTTTAAAATGTTAATTCAAACATTTTCGCACATTTTGTGCATCATCAGGAGTAAAATTTTTCACAGTATTTACAGTACGATCAAAGATTTGGAAAAAATGACAAACAGGTTTCAAAAATTCTCTCATTTTTTGCCCTATAAGTCACTAAAATGACCTTGAAGTTTTCGAGATATCACGTTTTTCTTTAATTTTTTTTCAAAAGTGGAATTCAAAAAAAATAATAAATCTCGAAATTAGCAACCCTGTAATTGGGTGATGTCAAAGTACACTCAAAGGCTGCAGATATTGCTTCCAATATATGCGGTTTTCTGAGTTGTCAATAATTCGAAGCACCGGAGGTTAGTTGCTCAGAGTACTAGTTGCATTGAAGTTTAAGGTATGGTCTGATAGATTTCATAAGATGAAGCGACGATCACCGAAAGGGTATTCTAAAAACAACTCCCCTGTGAAGGTGCGACGAGCGAAAATTGGAAGCGAATCAGATTTTGAATCTAACGTAAATGGCTTGGAGAATGGAAGCAAGTCGGAGTTTGATTTGAATATCAAGCTAGCCTTGACTGAGATGGCACGCTATAGTGACGAACCCGAAGCTATTGTAAAACGTGAATCCATTGCTGACTTCAAACCCATTTCTTTGGAAAAAGCAAAGTCTGGAAACTACTCTAGGCCTGTTCGCGTTTACGCAGATGGTGTGTTTGACGTGTTTCATGCTGGACATGCACGTATGCTGAGACAAGCGAAGGTGCTGTTTCCACACACCTATTTGATTGTTGGAGTTTCTCCGGATCATGAAGTGCATTCATACAAGGGACAAACGGTTAACACAGAATGGGAGAGGTTTGAGGCTGTACGCCACTGTCGTTATGTTGACGAGGTTTATAAAGGATGTCCTTGGGTAATAACCATGGATTTTTTGGAAGATTTAAAAATCGACTTTGTTGCTCATGACGACTTGCCATACACGAGTGGATCTTCTGGTGGAAGTGGGGACATTTATAAGTTTGTTAAAGAGGCAGGTCGTTTTGCTGCCACTCAAAGGACCGAAGGAATCTCAACTTCTGATCTTATATCCCGAGTTGTTAAAGATTACGATCATTATGTAAGAAGGAACTTGTCTCGAGGTTACTCGAGAAAAGATATGAATGTGGGATTTTTGAAAGAGAAAGAAATAAGATTCAAAGCGAGGATTGAAAGAAGTCGATCGTGGGTATCCTCAGTTGAGACAAGAAGTCAGCAGTTGATTCGAAGATGGGAAGACAACGCGAAAGATTTTGTTAGTTCATTTCTTGATGGTTTCCATTCTGTACAAGCTGCCAAAAATATATGGAACAAATCGAGAGGTGTTTTCATAAAAGGAACTCTTAAGTCTCCGGAAGCATCTGGGAGCGAGGATGAGATGGAAGTTAGTGAGGATGAGAATGGAGGTAGCATGATCAGTGTTCGTAGCCTGTCTTCATCGAAATCAAGAGAGACTGCCGCCAGTGGAAGAAAAATCCTTAAAGCAAGGTCACGATCTACGCCAACTCCACGTACTAGCGAAATCAAGTATTGTTAATTCGGACCGAAGTAATGTTCTTCCATGTAATAATTTCATATCCTTAGATACTTATTGGCATAATCAGCTAATTTGTTTTTTATTTATTGATTCTATAATATCAAATGAATAATCTTATTCATCCATTTCGGAAATATAATTGCAATTTTTAATTTGGGATAATTTGTATTGATTAAAAAATGCAGTACGACCAACAGTTTTAAAAGTAGATGCGCAATTTTTCGTAGATGTCTCAAACTTCAAAAGATGGCTGCAACTGTAATGACGGCTTTTTTTCCCACATGATCGCTGTGATCCTTTGCTCACTTGGCTGAGCCGAAGATTAAAATCGGCGCGCTCTACCAGAATGAGTAAAATTCATTTTTACCCTTGCAATAAAAACGGTTGCTTCATTGAAAATGTTACACGCTCGGTCGTAAAAATGTTACACGTGTTTCAGCTTGCTTCATTATAAGTTCAATTAACCATCCAGCGTTTCTCATGTAAAGGTAACAAACATGGTTGAGACGACAAAGGCTTGTGGTTTGAATCCGGCAGGGACCCGTTTTTTTTGCACGCTAAAAATTTCTGAAATTTTTTGCTTTCTCGGACTATCGTCCGTCTCTTTATTTTTGTCGGCTGAGCTCTTGTAGCACGGACTCTTCTCGAAGGTCGAGCTCTTCTCTGACTTTCGGAATGCCATATTTGAAGCCCCATTGGTGGAGGTTTTTGAGTTGCAATTTTTTTTGAGGAAATTTTGTTGCTTTTTTTAAAAACTTTTGATAGAAATTTTTTCAAATAAAAGGTATTTTGAACTTTTTTGAGTGTAAAAGAGCGAGGTGATTTTCATTTAAATAGGTCTTGATTAACTGTTTGGTTTGTTTTTTTTTCCATCAAAAAAACTTCGAATACTCTAGTTACTACAGAAGTGCATTCATACATATTAATGCATTTTTGCATGCACCAAGATGTATATGAACTTGTGTATATGAACTCGAGTTGGATTCCAATTCATCTGCTAAAAGTTGGGTAAATTGCACTCCCAAATTACGGCAGCAGAAATGGCGCGAAAAAACGTGAACGACTTTGTTTCGAACGGATTTTATTTTTTAGATTTCCCAGCGGTATAAAATTGATCTATTGATTCAGGTTCTTGAATTGAGTTAGTTTTGATCAAAAAATTATAAATCATAAATTTTTCTTGGTGTTCACAGATTTATCACATGAAATTCGAAAGTTGAAAATCTTTCAATAAATACTTTTTAAGTTTCGTTTTTCTTGTGCAGTTTTGCAATCTTCTAATGGCTATGTTCGAAAGTTTCGTAAATCATAAATTTTTCGTGGTGTTCACAGATTTATCACATGAAATTCGAAAGTTGAAAAGCTCAAACCTTTCAATAAATTCTTTTCATGTTTCGTTTTTCTTGTGCAGTTTTGCAATCTTCTAATGCTATGCTATGTTCGAAAGACTTTGCTTCGTCGACTAACGGAATTATTACTCATGGGATTATTATACGCACAATTAGCAAGCGTTATCAAATTGGAACATACAAATAGCTTGTCCAACAGAATCATTGAATCAATTTCTCAAGTCTGAATTTTCGTCAACCAACAGAAACAAATTGAGCATTTTAAACAGCCGTTCTATTCAATTTTTTTTTCGCTGGTTTTAAACTCCGGATTGGTATAATTTTCGTTTTTATTTGTTTGTTTGTGTACCCGGTTTTAAAATGTTCGGTTTGTACATATCGGCTTAGTGGCCTAATATTGCGGCGTTTGATGAGCAAAACTAACTCATATTGCGGCGTTTAAAATTTTTCTTTAAGATAGTTTTTTTATGAAAAGTTTTTGGGCTCAACGGATCGAAAAATTGTCGTCTTTGTTACCGTTTCGTAATTTTTGATGCTCAATTGTTTTATTTGGCATGTCGTTTTTTTATGAAACTTTTAATAAAACTGGTAGATCTAGCTTTCTCGTCGTTTTCAAAACTTTTTTAAATTTGTCCAAAACGTGTTCTCGCAAGTGTTTGCGGAGCGCAGCTTTGCCTCTGTTTATTTTTCACCCTTTCGTTAAGCAAGGGTATTGAAATCCGGTACTAGACTTTTTCCCGTCAGTAATTTAAGGCACAGACTCATCTACTGGATCCTGAATTCATTCATCCCCTAGGCGTTTCTGTTGCAACAGGGTTGTAATTTTACCAACTAGGTTTGTTTAAATGTCTATTTTTTTTCTTTTTCTCGGTTTAATCCTTTATATCAGCATATTTTATATCGGCTTAGTGGCCGCATATTGCATCGTTTGATGAGATAAAAAAGATTATGTGTGCCAGTGTGTGCTTTTTGAGGGGGCTGAGCTTAAACAATTTTTTCTAATAGTTTTGAACTGTTTCCGAATTTAATTTTTCTTAGGTTATAAGGGTTTCTGCTCAGACATTTTAGTCTTTTTACCGGCTGTTAAGTTTTCCGGTGGTAAGTTTTCAAATTCGATTGTGTTAATATTATTTTTCGGTTTCTAGAGTAGATATAGTTTTTTTTTACTTTTATTTTTTTCGATTAATGTTTTCGACTTTTTTGAAGTTTTTTGGACCATGTTTTTTTCGAGTATTGCATCGCAAGTGGTGCGAAGCTCAGCTTCGCCTCTGTGTTGAAATTTTCGCCTCATACGCTTTGATTGGCGATATTGAATAGTTAATTATATAAACTGGACCATAACTTAACTTAACTTTTTGGGGAAATAAAAGATATACGAACGGAGAATTTTTTCCGTGACTTAGAAAAAAGTGACAAGGTGTTTCAAGGTCGAAATTGTGCTTCTCAATGTATTATTCTACTCTCTCACTACTAAAATTTAAAAAAAATATGTTTATTCTACATTGTTCTTTACATACTCAAGATTTTACAGGTGCTTCTGGAGCTCAAATTTTTTAGATATTTTTTCATGTTTTGTTAATGTTTTTGAATGTTTATTTTGACAGAATGCGGGTGGTCAGTTTATATCCACACGCACCTTATTGAAGTAAGATTTCAATTAAATTTGGCCATAGAAGGTCATTAAGCAGCAAAAGCTATACTAAAAGCCGCAAAACAAAAGCTCAACCCGAATAATGGGTAGCATAAAAGATGATTTCGGCGAAACTTTTCTTGAACAATAGGGCCCCGGAAGCCCAAGTAACATCTTAGCTTTTAAAGTAAACTTTCAAGAGTCAATACTTTTTTCAAAATTAGTCGTGAGATCTATGGAATATGGCTTTGAAAAGTACAGTTTTGACTACGAATACTTTGTTACTCTTTTCCAACGCACGGAAATTTTTTTTTTCAATTCGTATATACTTTTCATTATTTACAATATTACATATAAATGAGCAGTGATGGAGCCACCGATTTTCTGATCTACAGAATTTGGATATGTTTTGTTGGGATCCATTGTTTTTTTTGCGCGCTTATGGCAGATGCTTTGTCAACTGCGCAAGAGTCCCTTCCCCTTTGGTACTGTATATTAAAGTCATCGAAACCTTTTTCTGAAATTTGGAAAACATTTTGCAGGGACTTCATTGCTTTTTGTACTCTTCGATAAACGCTTTGATTATAGCGCAATAGCCCATCCGCCTGCGGAAAGCAACTTTAAAGTCGTGTCATCGAGAAGATATTCGCATCTACAGAGTTTGAAAAGTATTGCCATATTATTTTTGAAATTTTTCCCATGTTACAAATTAGAGTAAATGGTATCTACGATATTGTTTCATTTGCAGCTGGTCTTAGTGTTTATTTTGTGGTTGACTGACGGTTTATAACAGCGAAACAATGATGTCATAATTACGAAAACATTCAATAAATTACTATTGACAAAGATCTTGTTAAGTAATTCGGAGGTAACCATTCTCATTCGAAATTAATGCGACAATTTCCTTATCAGAACTTATAGCTGTTTTGCTATATTTAGTAGCTTTGTCTGACTGGGTTTGATTAACAGCTATCAGATTGTGAACTTAGACTCGTAGAAAATTTGCTTGTAAAATTTTCAGGACAGAATGATCTTGGCGTAGTTGTGCGAAGACCTATTTTTGTGCATCTCCGTTGTACCTTACCGTACTTGTGGTGATGGTATACGACTCTAACCAATCATAACTTGCAGAAGTCACATCTTCAACGCAGCAGTCCATTCCAATCGATACAAGGAGCTACAATCTGGTGTGATTTGATCTCGATTCTCGCAGAGTCCAGTTTCGGAGCTATATTGGATCCAAAATTGGAGTTTAAGGTAAACTTTTGCAAATACTAGCAAACATATAAGTTCTTCGTATCAATGCGAGTCTTGTTTGTGACTAATACATCCTACTTTTGGTTTACATAATTTCACTGTGTTTGCCGCATTGGTCATATCAATCTTAACTTTGTTGTCATATTTCCAAATCCGGATTGACCTTTTGGGTGCTTGTTTTGAACTCGAGTGCATTTGAATCATACAAGCAACATCATTTCACAATTCATCAACTTGACTTCGAAAGAGGTTGTTTTTGAATCTGTCGATCATCAGATTCGAAGTGATCTTAACCAAGTGACTACATCTGAAACTAATACTTCATTCAACAATTTTCAACAGTCTGTGGTAAGATTAAAAGGCATCATTTTGTTTGATCATACACGTAACAGTTTCTGACTATTTTAAGCGAAAGCAGTTTTTGTTCCTTTATTCAGTGCTTCTATTTCTCAATAACTGTCAGGGTTGATGTCCGAGACCATTCATGCTCTATTCTAGTTACTTAGTGAGACAAAATTTCTGAACTCGAAAGCTTCTTGTAGGTTTAAATCATAAGCGTTTTGATTTCCATGGCTGTAAATGGCCATAAAGTTTTCATTTTCGTTTTACCAGAAAAGGTAGTTTGCTATTTTTTGTTTGCTAAAACATTTGCCTGAAAATTCATTTGTCAATTTTGAGACTTTGGCTATTTTTCAAGTTTATGTTGACCATTTAACGAAGCTTTTATTAAATTTGTTTTAATTGGAATTAAATGAGTGAATCAATTAGAAATGCATTTGAGCTCAAATTCAATTGGCTGGCGCTAATTGATGTCGAAACATTTTGAAAAGGCTGATGAGTTCGAAACTGAATTATTATGATTCCGATTGTCGAACTTAAATCTTTGATTGCTCTAATCGATTTCCGCAAAGTTTGCGAGACATTGTTTAGTCTTGGTTGTTGCTTCATCTTGCTTGGTTTTTATTTAGAGCTGTATATTATATTATTTAGATTTTATCTAATTTTGCAATTTGTTGTGTTTAGAGTTTCTCAGATTTGAACGGCTGGTTGTCACGAGCCATCATTTGGTGTGTCGTTTTAATCGCGTGCATTTGTAGTCGAGACAGCATTACCAAATTTAAACTATTTTAACTGAACAATAAATACCACACAACAATGGACTTCTTTACTCTCTACGCATTCAAGATGAAACGAAAATCCGAAAGAGAATTTGGATTCTTCATGACGACTTCTGAACAGACCAAGCAGACACTATGCAGCTTCTAGGAGTGGGACCCTTCACAGGCTCTGTTGATCTCAAGACTCCCCTTCCCCGAATTTTCTACCCTGCTCATCACGTTCCCCGACTTCTCCCGGTTCATTCTGACTTTGGAATCCCTGGGTTTCTACCTTTGAAGCCGAAGTTTGAGATCAGTGAACCTTCTGAGTGGAACCCTCTTGGACAGTTTGCTATAATTCTATCTTTCTTTTTGCTAGTGGAAGTTTGTCAAGAAGTCGACCAGAGGATCTTGGGGGTCTCTTGCTTTCCAAAGGTTCGTAATGCTTTTTATTTTTATTTTTCTTAAAACATAGCAATTTGTCCTACATTATTATTGCTTTTTGATAACCGTAAGTTTAAAATAATTTGACTAACTTTTTAGGTTAATTTTAGGTAAAAATTTAGGTTAGTTTTTTTTGTTTCAGGGACAACCGAATCGGCCATTTTCTATTCTCTTCACTTGAACTGAGACCATTCATTATTTCTTAAATACTCTCAAACAACACTGTGAAACCAAGGATAACAACGAGCGCACTACTTTATTATCATGACTTCAAACTCAACTCGCAAAGTGGTGTCGTCGCATCACTACACGCATTATTCTTTGTCCGGAACCCTACCCAACAGATCCTCACGGATCCCACCCGGAGTGCGACCGTGGCTCTCGCGACGTCTCGAAGAGCTATGGGGCATCGATGGGCAAGTTTACTCGCACTACATTCTAAGTGTTCTTCTTGACGGAGTTGATAATGAGTTCTTGGTTGAAAACTCGACTGAAGAAGAACCGAGACAGAAAACCAGAAGTGGGAGAAAGAGAGGCCAGCGACGTTCGGCAGCTAATAGTTCGTCGCTCGACTCCGATGACACGACGAGTGACGAGAGTGGCCGAGAGTGTTCTGTTGACTCGTTCGAAAACCGAAAGAGAGCCGTGGTGACTTACTTGAGGAAACATGCCAACGAGGTGAGAATTATAATTGAAGACAGTTGTGATTTTATGATCTCGGCCTCTGCACCTCAATGGATCAAAGCTGAGGCTGTGTGTCATAATTACTTCAAAATTAGATCAGCAGGCTATTGCGCTTGTAGCTCATAATGTTGCGACTAAAGATATGATTGGGTTTTTTCTCGGGAGGTATTTAATCAAGTAAAAGTCGAAGATTTTTTTTGTATTAAAAATTGAGTGGCCGCTGATATCAATTCTCTTTTCTTATCAATGTATCAATCAATGTATCTAAACATGCGTCACATAAAAATCCCTTTGAACATTGTTCCTTACCGCTTCGTGAGTAAGTCAGAGTAATGAAGCATTGAACAGAAATATACATCATTTTTCTATAACTGCAGCTATTTTCGTAAGTCCTTTACATCTCTCCGTCGAGTGGAGGTTGTTCATGCTGATACTTGCATTTTCTTACCACGACGAACAAAATTAAATACATAACCATTCTTTTGTTCACGGATTCATGTCTAGCAAAATGTACGTGATATATTCTGAGTGGTGGCTAATATTAGAAAGTAAAGAACCAGTTAAGATTTTATGCTTCAGAAGTTAAATAGCAAACTCGCACTCAGTAATTTGAAAGCATCACAAACTGCCAAATATAGCTGTAATGTGAGTTAAAAAAAAACGCTTAACCACGATAGTTTTAATTTAATGCAGGATTAAAAATAGCCTTGAAGACTCTTTCATGTCTTTTGATTTAGTTTTGGACTGAAGATAATTTTATGCTCATCAAATCAAACTGACGGAAGAAATGTAAACATGCGTATCACAAATTCAAACAGAAACTGGGATTAATTTGCAATTGTGTTAGACTATCTGGAATACTTGATGCTAAATTAACCCAAATCAAGATTTCATGTTTGATCTGAATGGAAATAAGGTTTCAGCTTTAGACGAGCTTAGAATATGAAAGGTTAACAATAATGTAACGCTACAAAACGTCGGCCATCAATAAGGCGGTGACTTCTAATTGTGTCAAAAATTAAAAATCAAAAGTTAAATTTAAGTCAAACGAAAGAATATGAAAAGTTAACAATAATGTAACGCTACAAAACGTCGGCCATCAATAAGGCGGTGACTTCTAATTGTGTCAAAAATTAAAAATCAAAAGTTAAATTTAAGTCAAACGAATAAGGACACCTTTGCGGATTTCGAATTCACCAACTTGTAAACTTGAAAAACTTAATCATAAAAACTAAAAACAGGCAAGTGATAAGTAATTTTTATTTTTTCTTATCTGCCCCCAAAACAAGAAACCTAGAATTTGCAATTCATCTTTTCCGATAGCTTTTTAAAATCTCAAAATTTGTTGCTTTGGCGATAGTTTACCGAATGGTGATCCATGACGTAGCATGTTACGATACGAGTTCGTGTAAGTTTTGTTCGAAACTCAGTTGAATTAATGATTTGGTTTAGGACAACGAAGTGAACTCATTGGTGGAGGAACTGATCAGACAACTTGGACACGAGAAAGAAAGTAAAGATTCGCCACGGAGAGTCGCCACGAGGACGTCATCGACGACCGAGGAAGACATTGGAAACAGTGACTACCCTTTGTTAGGAAATGAGAGGCGTCCACAGGGATTGAACCGATACTTTAACAGATGTGCGTCGTTGAACAGCTGCAAAGACCTAAAGGGGGATCGGAGAACATACCATCACAGCTTTTTTCAAGTAAAAATGGGAAGGAACAAATTCAGAAGAGCAGATACGGGACCGAAGACCATGTCACAAGAGGTCCCTCATAATCGCAGGGGTCGCGCGAGGATTGCATCACTCGACGGTTGTAGGTCTCTCTATTTGCCCAAGTTGATTTTGAGAAAGGAACGTACCAGCAGCACAGGTGGGGATAGAAAGAACGAAGATTGTTGCGTGAATCGCAGTCGAGTCAGCGGACCTCGGGAGTCGTCGAGGAAACGATTCAGTTCAGAAGAAAGTGGCGGTCATTCTGACTGCCCGGACAGTTCCTGCTCTGGAATGAAAAGATCGTCTTCGCATTTAATTGATGTTTCTTCGGATTACGACGAGGAAGATTTTTTCAACGGTTTCTTGTTGGATTCTTATGACGAAATTGATGAAACTTACAACGAAGCGTTTCCTTCCTTGATTGAAACTCACAATGGACATCTCATTGCAGTAACGACCAGTATGTATCCTATTAATGTCAAGCGGGAATCTGCAGAAGAATCAAAAGCACGAACGGAGAAATTTGAAGCGGCTGTCGGGGCATCGCGAGCATCACTTCCACCGAACCCAGTGAGCAAAGGGCAGCCTATCTGGAGTTCGAAGGTCAAAGCTCCGATTGGAAGACCAATGAACAGAAAGTACGCCGATGCAGAGATAAGTAACTCAATCATTGAAGGTGCAAACATGTTGTTGGCTATCGACGAAGTTGTGAAGAGATCTCAATTAAGTGATTTTAACGACAGAAAGTTTGACCCGGGCGCGGACTCATTCTGCTCCTACCAGTCATTGCTTGGCGACCGTGATTTTGACAGTATATTGAATATGATTGGTCTCACTCCCGAAAAGTTTCCAGGCGTCCGGGAAAAAGAAAACCCTTTCAATTTTGACGTCTCGGATTCCTTGCAATCCTTTTCCAAATGTGCAAAAGATTTGTTCAAGGAGAAAACTGCAGGTATTGAAAATGACAAAGTCTCGGATGTTGAACTGAAACAGGGACTGCTGTCACCAGATTTGTCAAAGATTTGGGAGAGAGAGGGTCTCGAGCGGAAAAGTTCTAATGATTTGGGAGAAGTAGGATCTAGTTTGAATTCAAACAGTGAACCGACATGCGACTCCGATGAGAACTTACAGGCTCGAAAGCTGTCCTCGGGAACTATTAATGCTGATCCAATATGGATGCCTACTGAAGCTGATCTCGGAACTTCACTGACAAACACTAGTTCGACGGATTTTAGGTCCAAAAATGAGAACTCGCTCTTGGCAAATGTCGATATTCCTGTGCCTGAAACTACACATCACGAAGTATGTTTTGACCTTTTAGCGGGGTTTCCGGGAATCATGCTAGGTTCAGAAAATGAAAACGAAGACCAGTCTTCTGTTGCTAAGTCTGAAAATTCTAAATGCCAATGTCGGAACAAAATCAGCTCCTCATTTTGTAACTGTGATAACCCTGATATTAAGTACCCGGATATCTACTTCTCAACTTACGACCCCCAACTCTTTGACTTACTGGGCTTTTACATGTTGAGAGAGAATATTGGGATGCCAAATGGTGGACCAAATGATCTTTTTTCATTGGGAAACTTCTACAGAAAGCGCGACATTTACTTTGATGACTACTTTGCAGAAGCGGCTCCAGTCACTTTTGAGCCAAGACAGATGTCAAGTACGGATTGTGCGCTACCTCCAGTGCTTACGGAGCACTTTCTGATGGAAATCATGAGGTACAACGAAGGCATCAGCCCTTCAACTCCAGTGGGATCTGAGTTTGATACCGGGAGTCTCTTCGATGACAAGTCCTCAGAAATCACGACATTGCAACAACGGGCGAACAGTTTAATAGCTAAACATCAACGAATGTACCAGGAGACTGCTAATGTTCCGGTGCGTGTAGATGCTGCGATGCAAACAGACTTGATTGAGTCACCGACGGCCGCAGCAGATGAGGGCAATGACGCCAACTCGGCGTCTCCGGTAGATAACGATCAAGAACTTGCAGACAACGTAATGATCGAGCGAGTAAAAGACGACGACTTCGCGAATTATATTGAACAACAAGCGGAACAAAATGCTCTAGCTGCTGAGGGTGAAGAGTATGTCTTCGATCCCAAACTGACTCCATGGTCGGTTGGAAGTTCTTCTTTTGCTACTGAAACTCAAGATGCGATTGCGATGACTACTCATACCAATACAACAACTGCCAGTTCAGCTAGTGACACGATAGCCGCTAATTTTAAACCGATAAACGACGATCACTTCCATACCTTCAAGTGTCCGGCTGGTTGTGATCCAAATGCGGCAGCATCAACATCAAAGCATCATCAGGTTCACGAAGAAGACCTGTTGATTTCGCCGAAAACTCATTTCAGACCAATAAGTGTGCAGAGCGGCGACGACGAAGATGAAGCAAATGATCAATTTGAAGAGCAATTGACAATTGAGCAGACATTTGACGTTTTTCCATTGCCGAACATTGTTGAGGGTCCCGTAGAGATCAAGGATTCAAAGCTGTTTACAAGTTGGTGCAAAGGAATCACGCAGCCAGACATCGTATTTCCGGATCAGACAGTGCCCGAAACTGCTGAAGCTTCTGGCAGGAACAGTGAGCTGTTGCGAAGTATCTGGGGGCGTCCTGACATTCCAGGTGTGCCCTCAGAACAATCGGCAGATCTTGCAAGTGAAAATACAAGTGTCGGCAACTCGTTGTGGTGTCCGAACGTCGATAAAAATGCTTCGACTTCTGACTGGATAGAATCTTCAGCGAATCATTTTGAAGCAAAGAGTTCGGCTTTTGATTGCCAGCAAAAGTCAACAATGGAAGATTCTTTGGACATCAACGCTTACCTGAATATGAATCTAAATAATGGGGCTTATGACGCAAATGGTGTTGAAGAATTGGAATTTGTTTTCGACCACGAAATGAACGAGCAAAATGCGTATTCAATTTTGAATCATCAACATCCTCCGTCATCTCAAAATTCGATTTTCCCGACTGAAGTGCCAGTCGGATTTATTCCGATGGAAACTTTAGAAGACGTGGACTGTAAATGCATGGCCAACTTACCGGGTGAACTAGGCATCGATCCCAACTGTCAGCTACATGGAGCGGGGGCTGCTATCTACATAACCACCGGTGACGCCCATTCTATGTCAAGCGGCGGCGACTGGAGCATCGGGTCGAGCAGTAGCTTCAGGGCACTACCCGCTACTACCGCTTTTAACCCGAACATGATTGTCGGCTACCAAGGAGGAAATTTCGCCAACTTCAGTGGCTCATTAGGCAGCAATGGAAAGAAGTCTCAAATGAAATCCAACATGGCAGCTAACATCTTACAGCTGGTTAGCTAAAAACTTTTTTTTTCATCAATTTCATGACTTAAATTCATCATTATAACTATTGTTGTGCAAGATATAGAAATTTTATTGGATTGCGATTGAATTGAATTGAAAATTCTTGTTTGATGTTTGTAGAATCAGAGCTTTGTGTCACAGCGACAGAAAAAACGAAGTCGCAGTTCTAAAAGTGAGAAGGATAGCAAGTGTGCGAACAAACCTTGCAGCTATTTCTTGGAGGGCGGCTGTCATAGATCCGACTGCAAGTTCTCACATGATTTGGGCAAGATTCCCTGTCGATTCTTCGCGGAGGGTGGCTGTTTTAAAAACATATTTTGTCCGTTTAAACACGCACTTCCCAATTCAATTGTAGATACGGCAGGTGAATTAACGGGATCGTCTAAGAATTCAACTGAGACTTATGAATGTGAAGTGGCCGCTGGTAAACTCGGTGGAGGGTCCTCGGATTCAGCAGAGATCTGCAGCGCCAAAGAAACCTCGGAAAGCGACAATGGGTTGCAGCCTGTAGAATTAATTGCATCATTAGATAAAGTGGCGAAAACGAAGAACTCGAAGCGGCGAAGATGTAAAACGAAGAATAAGAAGAATGTGCCGAACTTGAAGGACAGCGGCGAGTTTCCGATTCTACCGAATGAACAGGAAGGAACCAAAGAGGAGTGTGAACAACTAGCAGATGCTGCCCAACTCAGACTCAATTCGATCTACGCTACTGATGTAATTAGCGTCTTAAGTACTTGGTTTATCGATAGGGTGTTCTTTTAAAGGTCATTGTTCCAAACACACAAAATGAGAGGAAACGAACAATTACCTAGAATGTTTTTAACGCAATTGAAGGTGCCTTAATGGGTATCATGGAGAAGCTAATGTAATATCATATTAGATGCCTTTAACTGTCTTTTTAGGATTCCAAAAGACTGAAATTCATGCGATTCAGACTCAATTTATTACCCAGGCGCGGCTTGATTTATTTACGCGGGCCCCGTTTTTTGATCATAAGTCATAATTTTGATTGCAAAATATATGCGGTATTAGACAGGAAAAAGCGTGCATTACTGTTCGAGTTCACCTTTTCAACCTAAGTCGCACATTTTTGTTCAGCTGGAATTTAAGGCGATTTAAAACATTTTTTTCCGCTTTTTTCAAGCGCATTTATTGCTTCATGTTTTTTTTGTTTTGTGCACTGGAAGTGGGTAGGAACTTTGTCTTCGGGTGTGTTATCGTTTATATTAGCTTTTGTTCTAAAAAAATCAGGCACCTTAAGTAATCATGCGAATGGTACAAGGAATATATCATTTTGAAGCCCATTGGTGTTGGAAAAAGTTGTTCAAATATGTGATTTTTCTTGTTTCTTATTTTGTGAAAATAATTTTTTGCCTAGGAAAAATTAGTTGACGAAGCTTCTTTTCTTCGAATTTTTTTCTTACCACTCATAAAAAAAACGACAAATATGACACACTTGTGAACATTAAACAACAAAAATGACACACTAAAGTTAACAACAGTGCTGCAAAAAAAAGTGGTCAGAACTTTTTTTAGTACTTGCAAGTCTTAAAATCTTAAAATGCTCGAATAACAAAAATATATCAATAATCAATTTTTTATGAAAGCTTTTAGGTGTATATGCAATTTCTATTTAGTTTCATTTGCTTAAAGTTAGGCAAAATGCGCTCTCCAATTAGGGAAACGGCGCGAAAAAACGTGATAGATTTCTAGTTTCGAAAGTGGATTTTAATTTAGGTGTCTAAGCGGAACAGACAATTTATCCATTGATCCAGTTTTTTTAAACTGGGTTAATTTTAAGAAAAAAGTGCCTTTCATAAACTGTTCTTGAAACCCAGAGAACTTTAAACTGATATAATTTTGTTTTGAATTTCGAAAGCTGAGAAATATTGAAAAAATTTAATCCATTTTTTTGGTTTCCTTAATGTCTACTATCGAACAGCAAAAACTATAATGAATTCTAATTTCGAAATAGACTTAAATTTTCCGAGTTCCCCGCGGAACAAAAAGATTACCATAGATCCAGTTTCTCTAAATGGGCTAAGAAAAAATATAACTTATCATAAACAATTCTTTAAATTCCAAAAGTTTTAACGCAGTGAAGACTCTTATATTGGTCTTAGTGATAATTTTTAAGAAAAAAGTCTTATTATTAATGCATTTATGAATGCACCGAGGTATATATGCGCTTTTTGAATTCACCATAAATTCATGTACCGAACGTTAGATAATTTGCACCTCTAAATACGAACGTGAAATGGAGCGGAAAAACGTGAACGACTTCGTTGAGGAAGTGGAATTCAGTTTTTAGATTTCTTAGCGGAAAAACTACTGTACCTATTGATCCAGTTTTTTCTAATTGAGTAAATTTTATCGAAATGTCAATCATAAGTGCGTCTTGAAACTCAAAGAGGGTTAAGGCCATAGTTTATTTCTACTTTAAAATTCGAAATTGAAATTTTTTCAAAAATAAGTAAGTTTTGTCTCTTTCTTTGCGTGCATTGACTGTTTTCCAACTATCTGATGGCTATATTTTTTATTTATTTTGTTATTGTTATTATTTTTTGCCTCTTAACTTAGCGCGAATTGGTACGAATTCAATGCGTGGGGGTTTTATGTTTTAAGCCATCTTAAGTTATTGTCTATAAAATGGCCCCTTTGCTTGACTGAATATGTCAAATCATTTTTTTGACCTAAATGTGTACTGTTGAATGGGTCGTAGTTGTTTAGGGCTCTTTTTCCTTTTCCTCCCACCTCACATAAGCATAAATTTTATGGTGTAACGAGGGGTTTTTAAAAGGTTAGGTAGGAAAACCAAATATGTTTGTCTTGGCTTAATTAGTAAATTTTGATCACAACGTGAACAACGATTTTCTGTGTAAAGTTTTGCAGGGGAGGGAGGGGGCGAAGAGCCTTACTTAGTTGCAAAAACTCAGTTTTTACTCTAGCGATTGTACAGAACTTTTTTCCCCGTACATAACTTGTTCAAAGGACTGATCTCCTATTCCGCTCTGTTGAAAATGCTCCAACAGATATATCTTTAAATATATTTCTATTCAAAATTTGCTTTTTAAGTTTGTTGTAATTTTACAAATTCGATTTGTTAAAGTTTGTATTTTTTTTGGTTTCTTTTTGGGTACTAGGTTACTTGTTTGGTCCCTCAAAGCTGCTGTCGTCCCTTATAAACGCAGAGGTGCAGTATGTAAGCTAATTCTTGCTAATCATTATATTTTCCCTATGCTGATGATAAAACGGGCGTGATTAGTCTAGTGGATACAAAGCTGGTTCACAAAAAAGTTAGTGTGTGTGTGTTTCGAGAGGGAGCGTAACTTAAAAACGGCTCTGCCCCTGTTTGAAAAATATGATTGTAAAATGGAAGTTTTGCACATAGCCATTTGTTGTTTTCGTATTGCAAATGGTGCGAAACTCTGCTTCACCTCTGTGTCAAAATTGAAATAATTTCAATTCTTATGGACGGATGGTTTGCTTGAAGATAAAAATAGGGAATAAAATAAGCCTTAAAAGTATTGTTTAGACATGCTACAGACACTCAATTTTTGCATTTCTTTCACGCAGTTGCCTCTTCGCTTACATCTTCTTTCTTCAGGGTTTTCACAACTTCAATGATGTCGCCGTCATGTAGATCTTATCTAAACGTTTGATGACTCAATTGGAAAGAGAAGACTGTCAAACTCAGAAAATTCTCCAGCAGATAACATCACTTATGAGCAAAAGCACGGAATTCGATTTGTACATAGTTTTACCACTCATTCAACCAACCAAACAGAAGAACCTCACTTCGTTGAAAAGAGAAGCTGTCGATCTCTCTTTTTGCGTCATCTGCAGCAAATTGATTGTATTATACCGATTAATTGCAAATGAACAATTTATCAATTCACACTTTTTCAAGTGTTGCACATCATAAATTTGTTTTCTCATACTAGTACCATGCCCCCAACCCGTATAAAAAATAAAATATTACTTCTGAATAGCCGAATCGAACCCGCGATTTGAAAACCTAAAAATTATGCCAAAATTCTACTTGTTAAACTGGGTTTTCTTTCAAGCGAATGGATTAAATTGAGCCCTGTTGCTGTCTGCTGTTTTCACTGGACTTGAATTTCAATTTGATGTCATTATCAATAATCGATTTAACTAATTTCATCATTTTTTCAGTACCTTTGCTTGCCATTGTTTTTTAATCACTAAATTCACAAACCCCTACCCACTTCAACGCCCCGGTTAAATTACAATTTTTGACATAACTTTCCCAACCCAAAGTCATTTCCCAATTTGTTTATACTGTACTCACTCATTTGGCATTTGGCTCTTTTTCTCTCCCCCCCCCCTCCCCCTCTCGAATGATCAGAAATTTTATGGCGTAACGAGTGGTTTTACAACGTTAAGTATGAAAACCAAATACGAGGAAAAAGAGTCACTCATTTTGCCGTGCTAAATTGAAAATAAAATTTAAGAATTGAGCAGAACATACAATTTGTCTGTTAACCAGTACTGGAATAACCCTCACCATACAAAAACTGACCCCTCATCTCGTGGTAGTCAACTTCATTCACCGGAGTAACTGCTGTTATACATTGTGAACTCAACCAGTTTTTTCTTTTCGAGATTTCAGTTTACATTTTTGTTAACGTATTATCGAAATGTCTGAGAAAAAAATTAAAATCAGCTTAAATAAAAAAAAAATGTAGTTAATTGATAGTCAGTGCATTTTTTGGACAGCATTGAATTTTTAGTGTCTTCGTGCTATTATATATGAAGCATTTATGAGTGAAAATTATTTTCCTGTTACTGTACAGTTAGTAGTATTAAATCCATCTTAATTGAAAAAAGATTGACATAACTTCTAACAAATACTAATCAAAGTTCTTTATCTGCAGCAAAAAAAAGTTCAATCGAGAAGTATTGACTGTGATGAGTTGATGTTCTTTTCCATTAGAAAATATCTTTTCTGAGTTAGAGAGTGTTTTTTGATAAAAGTGTGTTCTTTATTCGCATGACGTAAGTTATACCATCTTCTTGGTTGTGCTATAGTGTGATAATTTCAGGGCTCATTTATTGGATGCTCATTTGTTGGACGTTATTTTAAGTGTCTTTAAATGTGTCAATGACGGGTTCAATTTAATCCGTGGTAAGTATTTCTCCATTCATTAAATGTCTGAATCTGAATAAATCACCGGTGATGTTTTATTATTACTTGGGTTTCATCTTCACGTTTCTTCTGGTTCAATCGAATCGAGTCTGCTGCTGCTGATAACACTGATAACTAATACAAAACATAACTAACGAATACGAATCCATAACTTCTCATGTATGTGTTGCTACATCAACAAGGAATTCAACCAGTAATTATTAATGAGCTTAATTAATTTGATGAAGCGCGTGTTTGTTAATTAGCCACTGCGCATTAATTCAAATTGTTTGTATTTTTGCTTTCTCGCCATGGCGCTCTCTGTTGAAGAACTCTTGTACAGATAAGGCCATGATACTAGTGTATCCATGATTAGTGTAAGATTTGCTGGAGTGGCCTTGTCTCATTATACAAGAGTGTTCAGTTGGCAGTCTAAGCGAGAAGCAGATTTCAAACGTATGGTGCAGAAGATTAATTTCGGTTTGCAGACCATACCAAGAATTGTCATTTCTTTCCGAAATACAATTTTTCATTTCAAAGTCTTTTCATCCGTTCGTTAAGTTTCTAAAAAGGCTCTAAATCCGACTCCTTCTAATATCAAATCAAAATCAATGGAATGCAAATTAGTGGCTTTGTCATACTGCTTTGAATAAGACTAATTTTTGTAACAAAAGAAATAGCTTTTTCGTTTTGTGTCGATGAACGAAGTGAAAGCAGTTTTTTGGATCTTGCTTTTTTTCATTTTTGAGCGAACGCTTATTAGGTATTGTGGTTTTTTCCGTTTTTTTTTCAGAAGTCTTAAAAAATTGTTTACGCTCAATTTTAATTTTGGTTCATTTTAACTTTGTATTCCGGTGTTTATTTTTTATTTTTTTTGTTTTCCACGCAAAATCGTCCTTACAGAAAATTATCGGAGCGAGTCAAGTGATAAATCATCTTAAAACCATTACAGTCGTAATTCGAACGACATTTAAAAATTTCCAATTTTTACCAATGTCAAGAAAAACCGGTTTGAAATTTTTCGGTTTTGTTTTGATTCGAGCAAATAAAGCGAGCGAGCATGCTTAAAATAGCTTATTTTAATGGATCAAAAGCTTGCAATAGTTACCCTTGCGAAAAGGAAGGGTATTGCAATCTGGTACTATACTTTTTGTTCCTGTAAACAACTTTAAAAAACAACTGGTTAAAAAATTTGTAACAATGTAAAATTGATTTCGGCCTAATTTTTGTCGGCTTTTTTGCCGGGTGTTTTTCTTAGAATATTCTATGCAGTTGATTATTAAATTCAATTCGAAGAAAATAATGTTATGAAAGGCTTTTTCATACACGTTTTTTAACACGCTTTTCTATACGCGCTAAAACTTTCCGCTTGAAAAGAAAAACTTAGAAGCGCTTTTTTGGTTGATTTTTTTTTATTTTCAAAAGTAACGTCCATGCTTTGGAAGAGGAAGTATCGTGATTGAGACATCGAACTGAATAATTTTGCTTCAATAAAAATTAATTGTCGGACTATCGCTTTTATCTTCAAGTGTGAAAAATCGAAGTGAGTATCACTACTCAGCCGTGACTTTTTTCGTTTTGAAGCGTCAATGAACGTTGTTTAATAGGAAGAAATCGAAATTTGATCACGCCCAGATTAATATTTTGCCGTTTGACTTTTGATTTTTTAAGTTCTTCTCCATTTTATTTGCTAAAAGCGTTAAAGCGCCAGTGTAAAAGCTAGACATAATACGCTTTCTAATTAAGAAAATGAAATGGCGCGAAAAAAGTAAGCTCAAGGTTCGAAAGTGGATTTTCAGTTTTAGATTTACCAGCGGAACAAAAAAATCCTTTATTGATCCAGTTTCCTCTTACTGCGCTAGCTCTATTAAGTGGTTATGATTATGAAGAAGTGTTTATCAAAAATTATTTTTGAAATTTGAAGAAATTAAACGTGGTATGTTTTTTCTTCGAGTTAAGAAAGTTTCAAGAACCATTGTTTTTCGTCCAACTATTTGTTGGCCATGCTTTTTTTTCAACGAAAAAGTAGATTTGATTTTTTGCGTTGACTGTCAAAGTTGAGTGTCGAACAGCAAGTAAAGAGATCACAAAAAAGGGCGTTTTCTTATTTGTCTGCTTATGTTTTTCCGGTTTAGTTGCCACAACGTTGAATTGTTTTGTTTTTTCTGTACGCCAGTCAGGTGGTAGTTGCTTTTAGTCTTTGATTTTTCTGCTATTTTTAATTTTACAAGCTTTGACTTCCTATATTTTTTATTTACTTTTTTCGCTTAAAATTTTTTCTTCCCGACTGATTTTGGCTTATTTTTTTATCGGCTTAGTTACCTATTTTTGAATAGTATCAAGGTAAAAACAATTTTTATGCTTCTCTCTGGATCGCACAAAGTGCTAAAAATTTCATGACAACAAATTTTTTCGGCTTTTTGTATTCGTTTCATTTTGTTCCGCTTGATAGGTTTCAGCCTATATTAAATCGGCTTAACTGCCTCATATTGCGTCTTTCGACAAGCAACAAAGGTTTAACTGCCTCTTATTCCGTCTTTCGAGCGGAATCAATAGTTTAATCATTAATCCAGTTTTCTCAAATTAGGTTGTTTTATCAAAAAAGCGTCAACTATAAATTTTTCTTTAAATTCAAGTGTGGTTTAGGGCCATATATTTTTTTTGATTTTCAAAAATTGAAATTTTTCAAAAAACAAGTCAGTTTTTGTTTCCGCTTCCTAGCGTTCATTGACTCCTCTCCAACTGTCTATTTGTTATGTTATAATTCTTGCAAATTTTCATACTTTGTTCAATTTCCTTTTTTTAAATAAATCTCCAAGCTTCTGCTGGCAGTGTTTATTTTTGTTGGAGTAGCTGCCACATCACGGCTTTTTCTTATGATCTAAGCCTTTTTTTGCGAAGAAAGTTTCGAAGTTGAAATTAGTACACATGTGATAGCTAGTGTATTGCAACCGGGTTCTATTTTTCCAATTAACACATTTGTTCACAGAATGGTCAAAAGTAAAAATGGTAAATTTAGATTCTCTTCATATTGAATTCAATTTTCTGTGCATCTCGGGCACACTTTGTAGGGAGGTAACGAGTGCGCCAAGGTCCTGAGTTTGAGTCTGGCAGGATCTTTTTTTTTCAAAAGGGAATTGTTCCGTTTTAAAAAAATTGTCAGCTTATTTTTTTGTCTGCTTGTGCTTTGTCGGCTTAATTTCCATATCGTAGAAATGTTTTTTTTTGGCTGTACATAATTTACATTGTAGTTGATTTTAGTGTTTTGATTTACTTTTGCTGCTTGTAGTTTTACTAGCCTTGACTTGGGTGTTTTTTGTTTATATTTATTTGTCTTAGTGGCCTTTTTATTGCGTCGTTTGATGGTCAAAGAAATTGTTTATGTGCGTGTGGGTGTTTTGAGGAAGAGAAAGACTCGAACATTCTTTATTCGTTTTTATGTTTTTTGAGTTTTTTCCGGCTGAAACGGTTTCTGCTAAGATACTTTTGGTTTTCTCAGGGGAGTAGCGCCTATCTATAATATCCAGTCGTACCAAGCGAAAGTTTGAACGCGGTTTTTTCGAATTTGGTTTGCTAAGAGAAAAGTGAAGACTGAAAGTTCTCCCATTTTTAGGGGAAAGAACATTTTTAAACTTGCTAGTGTAGTCTTTTTTGGCAGTCTCCTCATTTCGTTTTTACCAAAGTGAGACGGAATTGGCGAGTGATATATATGGAAGTCATCTCAGTCATGAACTTAGATGCATTGATCAATCAATGAATTTAAACTGAGTCGAGGAAAACTGGTCTGAATATTTAAGCTTTTCAGACTTATTTTTCTGTTTTTCTTGCCATTTTTCTTCTTTACCCCATTTGACAATTTGAAAACACAAAATAAAATCGCTAACCTTATTAACAAGAAAAACGCTTGTGCTAAAGGATCAGTCCTTTTTCGAACCAAACTAGCTAAATTCGGAATTAGTTTCTTATTTACACAAGCAATGCTTGTGTTATAGAATGAACTATCTTTTTTTTCCAACCTCAGTCGAAAATATTGTTGCGATAAAATGTGTTTTTTTAGACAAATTTTGACTTTTTAACTGGCCATTTTTGACGGAATATTTTTATATCATTCAAAAGGTATTGATGTCTTGGGCTTAAATTTGAAAAGATATTTCATCTGTGATCATTTTTTGTAAAGTATTGGGGGTTTAAATATTGCCATTTTGGCCCATTTGGGACAATTAACGCGCGATATATTTCGCGCTATTAACGCGTAAGCGAGATTTAATCCGTCTTAGAAATCGTTCCAAATTGGTTTAACGAAGCTTATTTGCCATTATTGATTTGTTACAAGGAGCGAAATCTATTCCTTTACTTTATATGGCGTGTTGGGGGATGGTTTTCACAAAAAAATCTAAATTTTTTAAGAAAAAATTTTTATTTGATTTAATTACATTAATTTTTTTTGTTATTACTGCTCTGTAGACCTTAAAAGGCAGTCGGAACATTCAGTGCTTCGCTCTGATACGAGCAGTCTTGTTGAGTTTTGAAATCGTTTAAAGTTTTCTGTTCTTTTGAATTTTCTGATTTCTAACAAAATATAAATGACTTATTAATTTCGAAGTTAAGCTCCAAAGACATTGTTCGTTTCGAGCCCTTGTAAAAGTTTGTTCGCTCATTTGACCCCAAATTGACTGAATTGTGACTAAAATTTCAAGACAAATTTCATCAATAAGAATACTGATGCTTAATATTCGAAGTACAAATCTATTATCTATTATATATTTAAATGCGGGCTTCACTATCTCGCCATGTTTAAGCTTTTTCAACGTATTATTTTTGCATGTTTAAGCTATATCGTATATTGCCATGGTTAAGAATTTTTTTCGATTTTCCAATTTGATTTTAGTGGTTAATTTATCGAGTTTAATTTAAGCAGCCCAATATCGAATTAGGGGTTGCGAATTTGGCTTCCAATTTTGAATGCCCGAATCATTTTAGTTAACGAGAAGACAATTTTTGAGATTTTTTCAAAAATTTTCAGAAATTTCAAATAAAATAATTTACAAAACTTGAAGTTCCCAACCTTGTAGTTGGGTATTGTCAGAGTACTCTAAGGGATTACAAGCCTTGCCTCCAAATATGACTGTTCAAATCCTTGTAGTTTTCGAGATATGACGTTTTTTGTGATTTTTTCAAAAATTTTCAGAAAATAAAAATTCTTAGTTTTTTAAAAATCTGAAATTACCAACCCTGTAGTTAGGTCCTGCCAGAGTACTCTCAAAGGTTGCGAATCTTATCTCCAAATATGACCTCTCAATTCTTTGTAGTTTTCGAGATTTTACATTTTTTGTGATTTTTTCAAAAATTTTCAGAAAAACTAAAATTATGATTATTTTTTTAAAATCTGAAAATCCCAATCCTGTAGTTGGGTACTGTCAGAGTACTATCAGGGATTGCGAATCTTGCCTCCAAATATGACTGTTCAAATCCTTGTAGTTTTCGAGATATGACGTTTTTTGTAATTTTTTCAAAAATTTTCAGAAAACTTAAATTATGATTATTTTTTAAAAATTTGAAATTTCCAACACTGTAGTTGGGTACTGTCAGCGTACTATCAAGGATCGCGAATCTCGCCTCCAAATATGACTGCTCAAATCCTTGTAGTTTTCGAGATTTGATCTTTTTTGTGGTTTTTCAAAAATTTGCAGAAAATTTTAATTAATTTCTCAAAATTTGAAAATCCCAACCTTGTAGTTGGTTGCCGTCAGAGTACTCTAAGGAATTACAAGTGTTGCCTCCAAATTTGATTGTTCAAATCTTTGTTTTTTTGAGATATGACGTTTTTTGATTTTTTCAAAAAGTTTTCAGAAAATTTAAATTATTTTGCAAAATCTTTCAGAAAATTTTGCAAAATCTGAAATTCCTAACCCTGTAGTTAGGTCCTGTCAGAGTACTCTCAAAGATTGAGAATCTCGCCTCCAAGTTTGACTGCTCAATTCTTTGTAGTTTTCGAGATATGACGTTTGTGATTTTTTCAAAAGTTTTCAGAAAATTTAAATTATTTTTCTTCAAAAAGTCTGAAATTCCCAACCCTGTAGTTAGGTCCTGTCAGAGTACTCTCAAGGATTGCGAATCTTGCCTCTAATTATGGTTGCTCAATTCTTTGTAGTTTTCGAGAGGTGACGTTTTTTGTGATTTTTTCAAAAGTTTCAGAAAGTTTATATTAATTAGTTTTCACAATTTGAATTTTCCAACGCTATAGTTCGGTGTTGTCACGGTACTCTAAAGAGTTGCAAATCTTGCCACATACGACTGTTAAACGCAACTGCTCAAATGCTTTTAATTTCCGAGATGTGACGTTTTTTGATTTTTTCAAAGTTTCTCAAAAAACTTATCTACAAAGAAATTCAAAAAAGTTTGAAACTACTAACTTGATGAAGATGCAACCTTATTGTCAGCGTACACCCAGGCGTCTCAAAATCAAATCTTGCCTTTTAATATGAATGCTCAAATCCTTTTAGTTTTCGAGATATGACGTTTTTTGATTTTTTCAAAAAGTTTTCAGAAAATTTAAATTATTTTGCAAAATCTTTCAGAAAATTTTGCAAAATCTGAAATTCCTAACCCTGTAGTTAGGTCCTGTCAGAGTACTCTCAAAGATTGAGAATCTCGCCTCCAAGTTTGACTGCTCAATTCTTTGTAGTTTTCGAGATATGACGTTTGTGATTTTTTCAAAAGTTTTCAGAAAATTTAAATTATTTTTCTTCAAAAAGTCTGAAATTCCCAACCCTGTAGTTAGGTCCTGTCAGAGTACTCTCAAGGATTGCGAATCTTGCCTCTAATTATGGTTGCTCAATTCTTTGTAGTTTTCGAGAGGTGACGTTTTTTGTGATTTTTTCAAAAGTTTCAGAAAGTTTATATTAATTAGTTTTCACAATTTGAATTTTCCAACGCTATAGTTCGGTGTTGTCACGGTACTCTAAAGAGTTGCAAATCTTGCCACATACGACTGTTAAACGCGACTGCTCAAATGCTTTTAATTTCCGAGATGTGACGTTTTTTGATTTTTTCAAAGTTTCTCAAAAAACTTATCTACAAAGAAATTCAAAAAAGTTTGAAACTACTAACTTGATGAAGATGCAACCTTATTGTCAGCGTACACCCAGGCGTCTCAAAATCAAATCTTGCCTTTTAATATGAATGCTCAAATCCTTTTAGTTTTCGAGATAAGACTTTTTTTCAATTTTTTTTTCCGGGAAACTTAGGTTTAAAACAATTCACAAAATTTTGGATTCCTAACCCTATAGTAGGGTGCTCTCAGGGACTCTCAGTGGTTGCAAATCTGGCCTCCAAATTTCTCCAGAGGCACATTAAGTTTTCGAGATGACGCTTTCAAAATGGTAATAAAAAGAAAGTTTAAAAGTTCGAAATTACCAACCCTGTAATTGGGTGCAGTCAGAGTACACAAAAAGTTTGCAGATGTTTTTTTCCAAGATATGCGGTTTTTCATGAGCTGTCGAAAAACTTCGAAGCGCCGAAGGTGCGTTAAACGCTAGTCTTCTTATGAAGTAAACGAGGTGCTGCGCCAGAGAGGCAACAAAACTACTGGCCCTTAGACAAAGTTTAACGGTAGAAATCTAGGCTTGCTATATTTCTTCTTCAGAAAAATGGCGTAACGGTAATTTTGTTATAAATACTGAGCTAGCTGATGAATACTGAGCTAGAGTTTCGAACTTCGCGATTTTGTTTTCTGGTTAATGCGAACACATTTTATAATTTAAAACGGTTTCTTCTGGTGTAAAAGCTTTTTTGTTAATCAGTTTTAGATGTGTAGTATGTGAGACAGCTTGTGTTGAGGAAAGTAGATGTCTATAGATGGCGACCGCCTTTGACTATTCAACCGACAATTCATCTGCGGCGGCTGCCAGCGGAATAGACAGTGGAATTGAGGTGATTTTGATTTTGTTGGACAGAAACAGTAGTAATTAAACGTAAAAGTAAAAAGAAGAACTGGGTTCAAGTGCATAAGGTCTATATTATACTTGGAATGGTCCATTTTTCACAATCTTTTTGAACCAATGCTGGGAGGAGATCGTTCACTTGGGTAAGCATGATATTTTCAGTCAATTACAAAGTTGGTTGAAATTGGCGTTATCTGTTAGCGGATGGTCATTCACTTTTATAGTTCCCAAAAAAATTAGTCATGGAAGATTCCTCGCATTTTCACAATTAAAATGATCAAAAATAGTTTTTAATGGTGCGTAGCTGCGAACAGCCAATTTTTGATCGTTTTAGATCGATCGCAACTTGACTAGTTCCAGTCCCGCAATGTCTGACGAAAGCAGTGCTGGAAAATCTAAACAATGCAGTTTTGATAGCGGCAGTAAAAGTGCCAACGGCAATGTCAAAAAACAGACATCAGGAAACAACGCAGTCCTCGATATCAAAACAACAGCGGCGTCTTCCGGTGGCTCTTCTGGTTCCGGATCTCAACACAGTAGAGGCGGAAGCAGAGGAGCCGCTGCAGGGGGAGGTTCAAATGGTGCTGCAAAGAAGAATCTCTTACCACACAGCCTGTGAGCTCTCATGGTTTCGAAAGTGGTCTGAAAAACATCTGAACTGAGTTGGCAGAACTCAAAAACTTGATGTTTTACCTGACATAAAATTTCTATGTTAGCGTTTCAGATCTTTCAGAATCTGCTATATGGGTTAATTGACACTTAATTTCCCAGTTGTAATGTGCTGTTTTCACCATCTGTCTTTATGTTTAGACTGTCAATTCCTCCCAAGTCCACCGCAATTGAAAGCCAGCCACTAGTCGACCTCGAGAACCTAGAGTATGTATTGCGCCATCTTCACCTCTGATCCTTTATCACATCAGTAGTCTTAAACATGATTTGTGGATCAAGTAATTGGCGTTCAATGTTATAATTGTTGTTTAGTTCTGGAGAAGAGGACGACGGCTTTGCTTTGCCGCTGCCAGTTATTCAGCACAACGCTATGGGGAAGAAAGACGTTAGTACCACTTCTGAGTTTCCTTATTTTTCATTACGTCAAGCAAAGTTTTAGGTTTATGTTAACCAAGAGCCTTTTGAATCTGATTATCATTGCCCTCGGCTTTATTGTACAGGCGATATTTTGCTGTAAACTCTCGGCAGCACTGGAAATAAAGCGTGGAATGTTGAAACAACTGCACGGCCGCTTTCCTGATGCTAAAATTTTTCATTTGAAGTATCATTAGGTAATTTGTTAAGTTATTCTGTCTTTTTCGTTGAAGTATACGAAGTGAATTTTGCCAGTAGCTCTGTCTCTGTATCAACGAGGTACGACTACGAGTGAGTCTGATAGAATAGTTTTTATATGAAATTTTGTGAGAGTGCTTGGAAATCGATTCATAGCTTACAACTAAATTTTTCTAAACGAGACAACTAACGAGAGATGTCTGTATTTTTCAGCAATCTCACATTTGTTTGATTTAGTACCGCCGAGTGCAGACGAAAGAGCCCTGGTCCCCCAAAGAGATCCGTTTCGGAGGAGGAGGTGGTGGTGGTGGTTTTTCTCTAACTGACAGTGGGGACGAATTGGACCTGATCCCACCCTCGGTCCCCCGTTCCAGGTGCTCCTGTGTCAGTCTGTGTCCTTCTATGTTCTCTTACTCCTACCACAAAACCGGACAAAACTAATTTCAATATAAATCAAAAAAGAAATAAATGTTCAAATTTAAACAGAGGCGTGAGAGTAGTTATTCGATATAATACGAATGAACAATAATTTTTTATTTCTCAGTTCTTTTATTATGACCCACGCCTTGTGTTTTTCGGACTTAACTCTCTGTACAAAGCAAATGCAATATACAATTGTTTATTTTCTTACATACTCCATTTATATAGTTTGTTCGTTTTTAGATTGTACATTTAATCATATACGATGGTGCATTGTTGTTCCTTATTGAAATCCCCTTTAATTAATTATCTTGAAAGTATATTTTTTAAAGCCTGTGTATTAGAATGCTATTCAGTTGAGTTCATGCAGGAAGCAGAAGCTAGGGATCACTAACTCAAAAAACAAACTTTTTCGCTGCAATGCTTGAAAGGAATTTGTTCTGCTATACTACCGGTTCAAATTATTTCTGTCGTTTTTTCGATCTCTCAATGGAAAAAACTATGACAAAGCCTAGAGTTTTTTCAGCTAACCCGAATGTAAATTTACTCGAACTGGACTATTTTATCGTCTAAGACGCTAGATGATCAAATTGGATTTTTACTTGTGATTGTTCATTACAACTTGATAAGGATGATGGAGGAGTCGAAATCGATAGGGTCTCTATTTAACTATCCCCCTTCCTATTGCAACTGGGGGAAGTCCGTTACTAGGTAAAAAAAAATCCGCTTATGCATATCCACTAATTTAATTGTTTATAGGGTTTTTTCTACTAGGAACCATAGAAAAAGAAGGTAATTGAACCATAGTTAGCAGTTGAACCATAAAAGATAGTTGAACCATATTGGTAGTTGAACCATAGAAGGTAGTTGAACGATATGAACCATAGAATTAGTTGAAGATATCCATTTGACCTAAACTTTGGCTAATAATTGACGATTTTACTTAAACAGAGGCCTACTAAATTAATATACATCAATCAGCGATGTTTCTCCTGGATATCTATTTTTGTTAGCAAGGAAAAAAATGATTGCAATGGTCCTTTCCACTACGTGGTCGGAACAGTAAAGCGTGAATATTTTTCTCAAATTTGTCGTGATATATTGTCGATTCTATACCTAATAAAGTATGACAAATAGCGATCCTGTTATGGGCACATGTGTGACAGAGGGGGTACGGTACCAGTTCGAAATAATTCCAAGTAAATACGCCGCATGGTCGTTTTTTATTTTATTCGATATTTAAGTGCCATTGCCTAAACAATAAATTGAAGACATTCGCATTATCTACTGTCGGGACTGTTCGTTTCTTGTGACCCCTCAATCAACTTGTACTCTGTCATGAATTTCAATGTCGAGTAAGACTTGCCACCTATGCTAATATTTCACCAAGGCTTCAATACCTCAACTCAATATCTAAAATTTAAGCTGAACTTGCTTTTACAGAGTCTGAAACGCTGGCTGACGTTTGCTGCAGGGTATTATAAAAATGTTTCTACTCAGCGACTTTTTTTCCGACCATAGAAAATGGGGAGGAACTAAGTATTCGGTTGTGTTTTAGTTTTTTTCTTTTTGTGTTCCACGCAAAATCAGGTACCACAAATAATCATCGGGCTGGGTTAAGTGATATATCATATTGAAGCCTTTTCAGTCGTGATTCGAACGACGTTTAAAAATTTCCAAACGTTTTCCCAGTGTCGAGAAAAACCGGTTTGAAATTTTTGATTTTTTTGTCTTAATTCGAGCGAATAAAGCACGCAAGCAGTGTTTGGTTTTCCACGCAAAATCAGCTACCGCAGATAATCATCGGACCGGGTTGAGTGATATATCATTTTAAAGCCCTTTCATTCGTGATTCGAACGACATCGAAAAATTTTCCAGGTGTCGAGAAAAACCTGTTTGAAATTTTTGATTTTGTCTTAATTCGAGCGAATAAAGCAAGCGAGCAGTCTTTTTGGTATTCCACGCAAAATCAGCTACCACAGATAATCATCATCATCATCATCACATATGTTATTTCGACACCAATTTCTTGAATTCAAAGGTGTTTGAGTTTAATTAAAAACCAGTTTTGTCGTATAAATAATCAGTCGCTCTGCTAAAGATGAGTTCGTTTCTGTCGATAGCCGTACCCACTCTAAAATGAGCTGGGATTTAAACAGAAAATGTTCTTTGAAGATGGTTAAAAATCGGACCCGCTCTAAAATGAGCTGGGCGTTTCATCGTCGTCGCCTTCTTTGCCTTCGTTTCACAGCCATTGGATTTTCTATGCTTCTGAAGGCGTCATAAAAGTCCTTAGCAAGTTCGCGCACGCCATTTGCTGTGGGGTGAAGTCCATCTGCGCAAACATGCCTCCGATAGCTGAACTTTACAGTTTTAAAGAGCGGGATTTTATACCATGCCGTTAGATTTCTGTAGCATTTATTCACTCTCCTGATAAGAGAGCGTTCACCTTCCCGGCTAATAAGTGACATGACGCCAACTTCGAAATTGCAGTCAAGGAGTCTAAAAATAGCACTCTCCATCTCCTCGGCTACTTCAGTCGCTCCCAATGACTGGCGCCCTGAACGGTCAAACAGGTTGTTTGTTCCTCCCATTATGAGCACTGTTTGTACATCCAAGTTTTTCATATCATTGAGAACCTGATCGCTACAAAGGGTTGAGAGAGTTCCACCAGGGCACGAAACTGTCACTGAATCTGGCAGAAAAATCCCATAAACTAGCGATGATCCCAAAACAGCATATGTCACTCTCTTGATCTTATCAGAGCTCAATATTATCCGTCTTTTGGGGAGAAACCTGGTTTCAACATGAACATTTCTTAGACGCAAGGTTTCGTTTAGCTTTTGAATTCCAACCTTTCTAGTTTCAGTCATTTTAGCAACCTTTAACTGAAACAAGTCTCATAGTAATACTGGTTAAACAAATACGTTTTCAACTGTTTACGAAATTCAGTTTCATTTGGTAGTTTAAGGTTACATGGTAAACTATTCCAATGGTGTGCGGCAGCAAATCTAAACGTCCTTTTTCCATAGTTCGTGTTAACCAGTGGTTTCTTAATGACCATGGTCCTTTCACTGAAACGGGAGGAACTTTTTTGTAGTGAAAAATATTTACTCAGATAAGACGGAACGATTTGAGGATTGAAAATGCATTTGTGTACGATTGTCAAGACTTTAAAAATCACTCGAGATTTTATGGGCAACCAATGTAGATCATGTAGATAAGGAGTAATACTCGTTGACTTCTTCAAACCGAAAACAAATCTGCAGGCACTATTTTGGACTTTTTGCAACTTGTAGAGCAGATAATTTGGTAAGCTCGAGTACAAGCTATTGCAGTAGTCTAATCGACTTAAGACTAGCATTCTTGCCAACATATTTCTATTTTCAAAATCAAGGTAGAAACGTATGCTGTATAGTTTCCGGAGACTGTGGTAACTGGCGCCACACACGGAATCGATCTGTTTTTTCAATGACAAGGATCGGTCAATGAGGCAACCTAAAGACTTCACAGAGTTTTCTGTTGATTTCATCAGCTTAACCGTTGAATTTCCAATGAGTATTGAACCGTTTGTTAGACCTTTTGACTTACTAGTGGCTAGGTTAATTACTTGGCTTTTTGGTTCATTTAACATAAGCCCCATGGACGAAAACCAGTTCGAAATAATAACCAGAGATCTTTCTATTTCTGCTACTTCACTCTCATTTTTAATTTCACAGTATAAAGTAGTATCATCGGCATACACTTGGTATGAAAATTTAGTTGAGCCAATAATATCGTTCAATGGTGTCAGGTAGATTGAGAACAGGAGGGGTCCCAGAAGAGAACCTTGAGGCACTCCAAATTCGAGTTCTTGAGAATTCGATAAAACATCATTGATAGCAACAATTTGAGTCCGATTCTCTAGATAGGAAAGAATTAGATCCACTGCATCATTCGTCATTCCAATCCGATTTTTCATGATCTTTCTCAATGTTTTATGATCAATGGTATCAAATGCAGCTGAAAGGTCAAGGGCTATCAAAAGGACCTGTCTCTTGTTGTCGAGACTAGTCAGTAGATCATCTGTAGTTTTTAGCAGAGCCGTTTCAGTTGAAAAATGCTTCCTGTAAGCAGATTGGTGTTCATCTAGAAGATTATAGGAGCTAAGGTATTGATCGAGCTGTTTATATAAAATTCTTTCAAAAACTTTACTGATAAACATCAGATTCGCTATTGGTCTATAAGAATTTAAAACGTTTTGGTCAAGTTTGTGGTCTTTAAAGAGAGGAGTTATCACCGCTCTCTTGAGACACTTTGGAAATTTGGACTGATCGATGCAATTGTTTATCATAATGATGGAATAATCTTTCCACGAGTGTGCGATTCTTTTCATATCTATAGTTTTCAGTATATCTTCTCGTGAGTTCGCGTTTGAAACCATTCTTACTGCTTCTTCTAGTTCATCTATAGTCACATATTGGAATTGGAAAGAAGAAACTGCAGTGAAAGCAAAGAGTGGCGGCGAGATGCCATTACTTTTCACATTTGCCACTAAATTTCTAACCTTCTGAATGAAAAATTGGTTGAAGTTTTCAGCTAATTCATAATCACTGGAGTATATCAGTGGTAGAACGTTTTGTTGTTTTTCTCCAGCAAGGCGTTTCAATTCACGAAACTTGAGCGAATGGCTATTTGAAAGCTCAAAGCGCCTGGAAAAATATATCAATTTCTTCTCTCTAAACAGATCTTTACATTTCTTTAAATACTCCTTGAAAGCTGTTTCGTTTTCTAATCCAGGATTTACACGCATTACGCGTTCTAATTTTCTACGTTTTCGTTTTACGTCTGCTAACTCTTTATCGTAAAAATTACAAAATCGGTTTTTGACAACTTTGGTCTTAGTTGGCACATAATCAGTTTTCAGCAGCTGCAAAATTTCGATAAAATTCTCCGCCATCTCGTTCGGGTCACTGGTGTTCAGATTCAAGATTAAACTCTGATCTATTTCCGTCTCTAAATGTTTCCAGTCTGTATTGTTCCAATCATAAATAGTCAATCTGGTTTTATCCTTCCGTTGAATTGCGATTTCATAAGTGAACGTCAATAGATGGTGATCAGAGTATTCAACGTGCTCATTTCTAACGGGTGAGCACAATTCCGGGTTTGAACAAATTATGAGGTCTAGAATTTTCCCGTATTCGTGAGTTGCTTTCTTAACAATCTGTTCTAGGTTATATTCCAGTAGAATCGAACAAAATGTATTGGATTTGGCACAACGTCTGTTTTCTAGATCCAAATTAAAATCACCC